GATATAACAGCAGTGTGTGTGCTCCGTGTGCCACTGTACCTAGATATAACAGCAGTGTGTGTGCTCCGTGTGCCACTGTACCTAGATATAACAGCAGTGTGTGTGCTCCGTGTGCCACTGTACCTGGATATAACAGCAGTGTGTGTGCTCCGTGTGCCACTGTACCTAGATATAACAGCACTGCGGTGTGCTCCCTGTGCCACTGTACCGACTGTACCTAGATATAACAGCAGTGTGTGTGCCCTGTGTGCCACTGTACCCACTGTACCTAGATATAACAGCAGTGCGGTGTGCTCCCTGTGCCACTGTACCCACTGTACCTAGATATAACAGCAGTGTGTGTGCTCCCAGTGTCACTGTACCCACTGTAACTAGATATAACAGCAGTGCGGTGTGCTCCCTGTGCCACTGTACCCACTGTACCTAGATATAACAGCAGTGTGTGTGCTCCGTGTGCCACTGTACCCACTGTACCTAGATATAACAGCAGTGCAGTGTGCTCCCTGTGCCACTGTACCCACTGTACCTAGATATAACAGCAGTGTGTGTGCTCCGTGTGCCACTGTACCCACTGTACCTAGATATAACAGCAGTACGGTGTGCTCCCTGTGCCACTGTACCCACTGTACCTAGATATAACAGCAGTGTGTGTGCTCCCAGTGTCACTGTACCCACTGTAACTAGATATAACAGCAGTGTGTGTGCTCCCTGTGTCACTGTACCCACTGTACCTAGATATAACAGCAGTGCGGTGTGCTCCCAGTGTCACTGTACCCACTGTAACTAGATATAACAGCAGTGTGTGTGCTCCCAGTGTCACTGTACCCACTGTACCTAGATATAACAGCAGTGTGTGTGCTCCCTGTGCCACTGTACCCACTGTACCTAGATATAACAGCAGTGTGTGTGCTCCCTGTGCCACTGTACCCACTGTACCTAGATATAACAGCAGTGTGTGTGCTCCGTGTGCCACTGTACCCACTGTAACTAGATATAACAGCAGTGTGTGTGCTCCCAGTGTCACTGTACCCACTGTACCTAGATATAACAGCAGTGTGTGTGCTCCCAGTGTCACTGTACCCACTGTACCTAGATATAACAGCAGTGTGTGTGCTCCCTGTGCCACTGTACCCACTGTACCTAGATATAACAGCAGTGTGTGTGCTCCCTGTGCCACTGTACCCACTGTAACTAGATATAACAGCAGTGCGGGGTGCTTCCTTGTGCCACTGTACCCACTGTACTTAGATATAACAGCGGTGTGTGTGTTTCCTGTGCCACTGTACCCACTGTAACTAGATATAACAGCAGTGTGTGTGCTCCCTGTGCCACTGTACCCACTGTAACTAGATATAACAGCAGTGCGGTGTGCTCCCTGTGCCACTGTACCCACTGTAACTAGATATAACAGCAGTGCGGGGTGCTTCCTTGTGCCACTGTACCCACTGTACTTAGATATAACAGCGGTGTGTGTGTTTCCTGTGCCACTGTACCCACTGTAACTAGATATAACAGCAGTGTGTGTGCTCCCTGTGCCACTGTACCCACTGTAACTAGATATAACAGCAGTGCGGTGTGCTCCCTGTGCCACTGTACCCACTGTAACTAGATATAACAGCGGTGTGTGTGCTCCCTGTGCCACTGTACCCACTGTAACTAGATATAACAGCAGTGTGTGTGCTCCCTGTGCCACTGTACCCACTGTACCTAGGTATAACAGCAGTGCGGTGTGCTCCCTGTGTCAGTGTACCCACTGTACCTAGATATAACAGCAGTGCTGTGTGCTGGTGTAGTAGTAGTGTATGTTTGTAGTATGTATCAGTGTAGCCTGGTGTAGGAGCAGTGTGTGCTTGTGGCCTGGTATAGCAGTAGTGTGTGATTGTGGAAGATAAACATTATCCTATAGTAACTGTGGATGATAAATTGTTGATAGTAAATGTGATAAAACTTTCATGATGACTAAGCTGAGAATGTGATCACATTAACCCCAGTAAATTGAAGTGGGTCTTATAAATAAACATTGTCTGACCTTGGACCTCCAGCTGTAGTTGGGTTACATTTCCCAGAATCCTTATTTTGACTACTGCTCTAAGTAAAATCAAAGCATGTGCTAATCAGTTTGAGAAAATATAAAATACAGTTTTTATACAGTGAGCAAGTTATAAGCAGGATGGATTTTGAGGCTGAAATGGAAATAGCATACCTTTTACTACTGTCAGGATTAAAACACGGCTACAAAAGATGTGAAGGCGGCTAATTATCAGCTTCAGACCAACGTCTCAAGTCAAGTGACCTCATGCTGGCTCTGAACCGGAGCATTATAATTCACGTGTCAGAATGAGGGAGAGCTGTTTGCTGAGCGGAGTATCAACGAGGTGATAGATCTTGCAATATGTAAAAATGTTGGTGGTTTTGTCTATTAGAAAGAATTGTTACAGTGAATTTGTCTGACTATTACTAGTATGTATATAGCGCCAGCATATTCCGTAGTGCTTTACAGTTATAGAAAAGGGACATGGAGAAAGCCCTGATCAAACAAGCTTACAATCTATTAGGATTTGAGAGGCAGATATATATTGTTTAGGTACCTTACTGAGGGATGCTTAATATTGAGGTGTTGTTACCCCCATAGTCGATGAGATTCTTCAGTTAGTCATTGTACTTGTTCAGACCTCAGTGTCGGGAGTTTGATTCCCAGCAGGGCCAACTTCTCATCCATCTGAAGTCAATAAAATCAATGTTAGGTAAACCAGTTAGGCAATTAATTTGATAGAATACTATAACAAAAAAAATCTCTGGATATATATAGTTACTGATGTGAAATCTAATGCTATGATAACACTAATTTAAAATCTTTATCAGTCATTCTCAGCATTTCAGTATGTCTGCATTCTCTCCACTAGGGTTTTGACAAATATGTAACGTTACCCTTACCAGCTACGTTTATTGAATTATTTGCTATATTTACTCCAATACAAGTTCTTTAGTGATTGTCCCTTTAAATGCATTGTAAATAAGAACCTGCCATGCTGTATGCGTTTTAATCTTGCAGCAGTGTTTGTGATCTGCATGTGCATTCTACCCTGTAGATACAAAGTGTTCAATATATTTTTTCAGCAAAGGAAGACAAACTGCAGATTGGCACATTCGATACACACAATCCTGCCCACTTATCTTAATATTTATCAAAGCAGATTGTCTTTAAAAGCTGTATTCATCACTAATCCTCTAGAATGTTTACCCTATAGCTTTTAACGTGATTAGATAAACCATTAAAACCTTTTAACAAAACCAAACTGGCTTGAAAATCTCATATTCAACTTTCGAGTCTCGCTAATTTAGACCACAATATGAAACACTGTGTAGTGGATATGTGCAAGAGGTCAAAATGCTTTGATTTAAAGGGACATTGCCTCAAATGTATGTATCACCCTATTTAAAGCAGCATTAATACAACTTTAAGAATGTAAAAAAAATTCCTGTCACATGTTAATACCGCATGAAGAGTGCCGTCTTTGGCTTTCGTTCTCCCCATTTCTGTGAGTAATGGGTGTTTCCTCCGTCGAAACAATATTTATCTGTTTACTTGATGGTAACTGGTTTATATGAAAGTGAGGATTTAATAAACCATTACATCAATAAGGCTTTCTTTGGTATCTATTCCATTTTAAGGGACAGTATAGGCACCAAGACAAGTTTAGCTTAATGAGCTATGGTGCAGTCTCACTGTTCAATTCTCTGCCATTTAGGAGATAAATCAGTTTGTTTATACAGCCCTAGTCAAATCTCCCTGCATGTAAAGTGCACAGTCTTTTGAAATACTTTATGTAAAGAAACATCTAATGTTTATACTTCCTTTATTACAAAGTCTGCTTAATTTAGAATTTCTTATCTTCTGCACTGTTAATAGCTTGCTAGACCATGCAGGTGTATGTGATTAAAGTTCAATTTACAGAGCAGGGGAAGAAAACTTCTAAAGTAAGTTAACATAAATGCAGACTGTGTCAGTCACAGCCAGGGGACAATTTTTATAATCTTTATGTTTATGATGTGTGGTTTGTACGTCTAGTTTAAATGGCTTCATATTGCACATTTGAATGGCAATTTATACTGAAGTAGACTGTAGTAAAGGGGCATGCTAAGCACCAAAACTACTACAGCATATTGCAGTGGCTACGGGGCTAGAATTTTACAGTTGCCCCTGTCTGAGAAACTTGTTTCAAGTGCTTTGCCAAAATACAGGGATTCTACAGATAAATTAGGATTCACTTACAAACCCATCCAAACATTTGAATAGAGCGAGCATGTAATGCTTACAATGAAACACTTGCAAAGAGTGGCTACAGTAAATGTTCGCTCACTTAAATAACAATTGTTATTTTCGGTCTATAAGCACCCTTTTGCCACCCTCCCTCCTCCATTTGCATTTAAAAATGTTACTTCCAGTCCTGGTCTCCTCTGCTGCATGCCCTCTGACATCTTCACTAAGCAATGGACTGGAGTTATGCACTTGCAGCCAAACACCGCTCTCCTCCAATCAAATGCTGCTATTATTTAAATTCAAAACCAAATTTTACTAGGTCTGGAGGAGGCGGAAATGCCTCTAGTGACTGTCAGGAAGGCAGGGAGATAATCACTCCACCCAGACACTGAGATGAAGTAGCTTGGGTGACTATAGTGTTAATTTAACCACCATATTGCCATTAATCAAAACAGTTAATGGTATTTTAAGTAGTAATGGGGTAATTCTGCATGGCCAAATCCTGCTGTAGCCCAGCACTCTCAGCGAAATATTTGCATTGCTAATTAGGTACTGAAATTCCTCATTATCACATTTAGTGGCTGAGGGTGTTGGCTAGAAATAGTTTGATAAAATCCAGAGAGTTTGTACCTGTAGCCTCTTGACCCCCATCAACAGAATTAACTGCAGTGGTTATGGTGCTTTAAGATTTAGTTTTCCAGACATTATCAGAGGTACAAAAAGCAGCGAAATTGGCGTACATTGATTGAGCTCATCATAAATGAACACACAGTGAATCACAGAATGACAGCTTGCGTAATGAGACTTTATTTCAGGACCCTGGACAGCAGCTGATTAAGTTGGTCACAAGCAGGCTCCAAACAGTCTGGTTTGTTTATTAGTATTTTGTTTGTTATCACTTCCTGCTTTTTTTTCTAAGAAACACCAGGAATTTTATAAATCGACAGATAGAATCTGTCCACCCACCAAAACTACAAGTGCATTAGGAAAAAGGAAATACGTAAAGTAATAATAATCCCACACTTTAATCACGAAACAAGGCTTTTGGTGAACTTAACTATTAATTAAAATGAAAATTCTAAGTGAATTCAAAGTTTAGAATTTTACATATTAGGCCAAATAGGAGCCAAACTGAAAGTATAGCTGAAAACGTTTCCTTTTCAGCTATTTGAAATCCACTTTGAATTCTCACTTTAGTGATTAACCTTGTTGAAATTGATGACCATCTCACCGTGCCCTAAATTTTGGTGAATAAAACTTTAAAGAGGCATACTGTGCAATTTTGGGCACCTGTTCTAAAGAAGGATATTATGGCACTAGAAAAAGTGCAGGAACGGGCTACAAAATAATTAAAGGAATGGAGAATTTTATTTCTGAAGAAAGGTTAACAAATTAAAATCTCTTTAGTTTGGAAAAACGGCACCTCAGAGGGGATGTATGTATATATATACACAATATATTTGGGGCCAATACAAACCATTGTCTGGAAATCTATTCATAAACATGGCTATACATAGGACACAAGGTCAACCATTTAGACTGGAAGAAAGGAGATTTAGTCTGAGGCAAAGGAAATTAATTTTTACCGTAAGAACAATAAGGATGTGAAATTATCTGCCTGAAGAGGTAGTTTTGTTGGAGTGTATACCGATGTTTAAACAATAATTGGATAAATACTTGGAAAAACACAATATACAGTGATATCATTTTTAATTAGTGGCTTTCTTGCTCCAAGAAAATATCTGACTGTCATTCTGCGGTCAAAAAAGAATATTTTCCTAGTTTGTTGCAAAATTGGAAGCGATTCAGACTGTTGTTTTTTGGGGGGTTTCCTTCTTTTTGATCAACAGTAAAAACCGATGTGAGAAAGGCTGACCTTGATGGACGCAAGTCTCTTTTCAGCTATGCAACTATGTGTATACTCAAAAAATGTAAACCTAATTTAATGGTCCCAGCTTGGAAACCATGTATCATGTAATAAAGGTTTACTCCCTTTATTCTATGGAAAAAAACAACCCTTCTTAATAAACGTTTCTATTCTTCCCTCTTCTTGTATTGTAGTTAAACTATATGAATAAGTAGCTGAATTGTAATGAAGATGCTAAAATGTAAATGCTTGTAGAATTAGAGGAATTGTATTCTTCTCGCTCCAAAATTTGTCATGAATTTTACAGATTGCCATTTCTCACAGTTAAATTATTAGAGATCTCAGTTTTTCATTTTCCTGTTTAAATATTAGCTTTTTATAAACTCTTCTTAAAGAGTAAATAAACAAACAAAAATTAACAAGCATCAAATTTATCACAATAATAGACATCTGTAATTTTTATTGTTTCGATGCGCAAGCTTTTAAAAATTCTTATTTGCATTCTGCAGTTCTTTTCTCATATTACATCATGTCTGTGTCCCGAAAGGGTAACGCAAACATGTCTTTGCATCTCTGCCTCTGGCTCTCTGCAGGTACCAGATATATAGAGAATTCTAATATCATTAATCAGAGGGATTCTTGGCACATTGCAAACTTAGCAACGCAATTACCCAACACAAATCATCACTGCCTCTAAACAGGATGCCAAACTGTGTTATGTAACAGTTCGACAACAAAACACTGTCTCTACATCAGTTACGGTTTCAATTAGAGCGCAGACAGAAAAGGTCAGCGTTAGGCTTAAGGAGAAAGGATTTAACTAATTTTGTCATAAAAAAAATTACAAAAATACAAAATAGAAAATACCCTAGATGATTATGGCGTAATATTAAACTGACTGCTATAATTTATAATGGTTTGTGGAAAAAGGATGTTAACGTCTTCACTGCCAAAGGAAAACAGCTAAGTAGGAAAGAAACAGTGAATATTTAAAGGAAAACTATAGTCACCAGAACAACTACAGCCTAATGCAAGCATTTTTATGTAAAGAAAATCAGAGAAAAGGCAGCGTTTACATCACAGCCTAGGGACACCTCCAGTGACCACTCCTCAGGTGGCTACTAGAGGGGCTTTCTGAGCCTGTGCTTCACAGTGTAAAGCACTGATATTCAGTGTCTCAATGCAGAACTTTCCCCACAGAGATGTGTAAAATATAGCTTGAAATCGGTCGTCACTGTTAAATCTTCTTAATTTCTTCTTGTCGTTAGTTGATTGATATATATATATATACACGTCTTTTGTATATATAGTCTTGGGCCAAACTTGCTCGCAGCATTAATAAATGACTAAATAGTTAGTTTAACACTATAGGGTCAGGAATACACATTTGTGTTCCTGACCCTATAGTGTTCCTTTAATAGCTTTTCTAAAGAAGTAAAAAAAAATTTGAAGGACAATCATCTAATCAATATATGTGTTGTAATGTAGCATGTCAAGGTTTCTATAATTTTTTTATTACATTATTTCCAAAGTATATAAGTAAGTTTATATGATACTATCCTCCCTTGAGTGATATTGATTTTTAAGCCCGTTTCTTAGTCTTACATGTACCGAATTTATCTTACCCTTTCCCAGTGATTACTGTTTACCCTATCAGGGTAGGATAATAGCCGGCCTAAAAGAGGGCAATATGCCTTTACAGTGGGAAATACTAGCGGTTTGGGACAACAGAGAACAGAGGTAAACACTACTAACCTCACTGGGAAATATTGTGCCCTCTTAGATTCTAATTATGAAGCTTTGCAACCAAAGTGTTAAAGGGCAAGTTCTTTTTGTGTACATGTAATGATCATGGTAGGATCATAGGTGTTGCTAGAGGGGTCTAATGGGCCTGATCCTTTCATTTTATTGTTTATTGGTTAACGCCTGTAGATAATGACAGCACACCCCTTAGATGCAATGTGTAGGTTTAGGTTACAGCTACTTATGCTGACTGGGTTGTTTTTGCATTTAAGTTTGTTTTAGAATAATTTATTTTTTACCAAAAGCCCACTCTTTCCACCCTATACTCCCAACCTACAAGGCTTCTCTTTTTTGCTACAATTAGTGCAGTAACTATTACCATATAATTCTGTGTTGTAGCTCAGCTGTCGTCTTTCTCCATTAGGAATCACAAAATTAAACTGTAACTCACAGAAACCATTGCTGTGCCCATAATGCACAGCTTATCATGGGATTTGCACAGCCCTACTATAGGAAGCTATGTGAGCATTCTGATTGGCTGAGTCACTTCCTGATTTGGTGAGCTTGATGATTTGCATATTTTTACTATTAGAATGCATTGGTTTTGCCTAATGTTATGCATTGTACAATTAATGCATTAAAATATTAGGGTGTCATCGGCAGACTGCCGTGTTCATTTGAAGACATCAGCAATATGGAGAATCCTTACAATGCAGCTACATGTGTTTATAAGATGTGTAAAATTGCGTGTATTGTGTGTTTAATAACCGAGTCATGTACATAGTATAGGTTTCAGAGTTGGGGGTATTTCTTTATAATATATTACAGAATGGACTTAACGCAAAACAGCCAAAAAAAACAAAAAAAAAACACCATTTATTTTGGAAACAAAAAAAAAAGTGTCTCTTATTTTACTTATTAGCAAACTTTGAAAGTCAAGGGTAAACTTCAAACTATATACGTTGCAGAGTTTTGTACAGAGAGAAAAGCCTCATTAGCACCCACCATCTTACGTCCGTGTAGTTTCTAATACTGGAGACATAATCTTATCAATATAGCTCACAGCATCACTCGGTTTAGAATTCAAGCTTTGGGACAAATTAAACCAGATTCTTATCTTTAAGGGACTTATCAACACCCGTCCCTGCGTGTCCCTAAAACTTAATTATTGAGATTAAATGCTTCTTTTTTTAAGTTATCGGCTTCAAACAGTCTGGCTTTAATTAAATCCACTGAACTTTTACTCAGTACTTTATTATAAGGAGCCATTTATACTTTAGGTCCTTGCATCACCAGAGATTGACCAAAAGAGTTGGTTTGCTTAGAAAAAGAACTCGGAAATTGAAGGCGATTAAACTGGGTTCTATCATCAAGCAACAAAAATTAAAAAAATGAAATAAAAGTTAATCAAACTTATATCATAAAATAAAGTATGTTCTCTATAAATATATGTGGAATCATTCAGACATATTTAAATATATTTAGAATCCTTTAGACAGGAACACTCAAATTAAGGGGAAAAAACATATATATATATTTTTTTTAAATTAGACGTGTTCCATTTTTGCTTTAGATTTTAAACTTACCTGTAATCCAGCTTCGGGGCAGACTCCAACCTGTCTCCAATGATATAATCAAGCTTAATTAACTATGTTAAAAAATGAAGGACACTCGGCACAAGTAGAACAATTTCCAAGATATGTCAAGCTATTGCTTTTCACAAAGATACACTAGACACATATAGTGTCTGTTGCCAGCATATTATGGATATCAGAGAGACACAACTGGGTAATCCCTAAATCCTTAAATCCTGGACTGTTAGGGGGTACCTGAGGATTGGGTATGGAACCCCTGCTCTAAAGTATATTTCATGGATGCGGGACTCAGGACAGAGTTGTCTTTTAAGGTCCAATAAGCTAATTTAGAATATTTAGGGTAAAGGCAAGTTGTGTGATACACAATTGCAATTATTTATATAGCAACAACATATTACATAGATCTGTACAATAAGTAAACAAGAAAAAAATGTAATTCTAAAAAAACACATGTATGACACGTAGAAGTAGTTGTTGAAGAGGGCCCAGCCCAAAACCAGCGAGGTAAAAAAGGTGGTGAGACCCGTCAAGTAATTTCCTCCCCGCATCTCAGAGCATAACCTTCCATTCTGTTTAGTTAAGGCCAACAGTGAAGAAAAAGGACATGAGGATTGAGAGCTCCAAAGGTCCCTGTGTCTCAGGGGCCCGGGTGCTTGGCATTCCCTGTAGTGGTCCTTGTGAATTAAATTGTTAAAGCATCTTCATAAATTGCCCCTTGTCTGTTTTATGCCTGTGACCATATCACAAAAACATCAATAAGTATTGAATATTTTACTTTTCACCTGGAAAAAAATAAAATGAAAAAAGGCTGCGTTCTCTGATGTTATCAAGCTTT